CGAAGAGGCGAGGATGCATGGATATCCCCGGGGAGTCGATCATACATACTACGCGGGTTCCCTGTACACGGGAGGTTTGCGCGTTGCACGGCTCACGTAACGAGGTCTGGATTGATACCAATTGTTTTTGGGGCTCGAGAGGAAAAGGAAGCGGCTTCGCAGCTCGCCGCGCCAAACGACAGCGAAACCTCACCATGATCCGAATCATACGTCACTCCGCCGGAACTCCCAGAAGCCCACGAATATGGCAGTTAACATATTGGAAGGAAAAACCTGACTGATGGCTTGAACTCTCTACGTAGAGGAGGAAGCAAGCCTCAGAGTGAGATGCCACACGCTGCATGCCCAGGAATGACATACTGCATGCCCCGACGCAGCCATCAGCGATGGCCTTCTCAGGGTAGAGTTCTGTCGGGCCTGTCCCCCTACAGAGGGGGTTTTCGACGAGAAATAAAAGATACCCAACAAATAATCAAACAAAAAGTCAGAAAATACTAACAAAATAGTCCCCACACTATTTTTGAAGTATGTTTTGACTATTTTTGGGGTATTTTTAATTTTTCGTCGAGAATCCCCCTGTAGGGGGACAGGCCCGACTTAAGCGTAGGGGCGCCTGGAAGACAAGAACACCCCAGCGGGCAGCACTTCCCCACGACCTTGCTGCAGGCGCCTATGCGGAGACAGCGCCCGAGAGAGCAAGCTCGCAGGGACAAAGGCACGCGGCGAAGACCTGCGCCAAAGGGCACGGGCGTGGGCCCGCCCCGGAAGGACGCCGGGCCCTCGCCCCGCGGGCAGGACTGCCCGCGGCAGCCCGAGGCTCCAGCTGCGCGAGGGACGCGCGCGCAGGGGGCCACGTGCGAACCCTACCCCTGCCCCCCACGATTTTTTTTGGGGGGGAGTGGGGTTCACCTCGCCCGGGAGCTCCCGAACAAAGTGAACCCCACCCTCCCCCTCGGAAATCGTCGGGGGCAAAGGTACACCCTGCGAAATGCTCAAGAAATCATGGGTTAAGAAATTCATAGTCTCAGAATTTGATATAAGAACAAGAATTTCATGTAATTCTTAGGATCTACATTGAAACATTAAGAATAATCGAGACTCTTGACGAACACTTAGGTTTTCTTAAGCATCCCCCCTAGGTAGGGCTTCGCATGCGGCCCCCTGGCGCGAGAGAGCCCACCACGGGTGGTGGGCACGCCCGACAAGAAGGGAGGCGACAACTGGCGCCCCACTCCTCCTCCTCCTCCCCCTCCTCCCTCCTCCCTCCTCCCTCCTCCCTCCTCCCTCCTCCCTCCTCCTCCTCCTCCTCCTCCTCCTCCTCCTCCTCCTCCTCCTCCTCCTCCTCCTCCTCCTCCTGGGCCTGCGAAGGTGGGGCAGCGAGGCTCGTCCAGGAGCGTTCGGGACAGTGGCGCGGACGTTCAAGAGCCCCGCTCGACGGAGCACTCTTAGGCAAACTTCGAGCGCGAGGCTCGCCGCGAATAGCCCGAGCTGGCCCACACAGCCCAAACAGCAAACAGGCCAGCTTGTCCAGCGGAACCCAGATGCCACCAGGGTGGTCCTAGGACAGCGACCACGGCCATTGGCACGTCCCGAACTCGGCACGGTGCGTCGCCTGACATCGGCAACAACGTTTGAATTAGCAAGATCAGAACATCCTACTGAATTGCTTTGTGGAGCACATTGGCCCTGGTTCGGGATGCCACTCCCCGCAGAGCAGCTCTATAGACGCTGCGGTCGGGCAAAGACCCGCAGCCACGGCCGTCAAGAGCGGCGTCAGGGGGTGAGCGCTGGCGCGCCGCCCGCGGCCCCCAGCCTGCGCCGGGCGCCGCTCACTCCGCTGCCAGAAGTGACCTCCTTTCGCAAATCGCAGCACCCCAGGAGCGTCGAGGTCGCACTTTCCCTGAAGAGGACGTCGCTCCGCTGGTCCTTCCAGAAGCCAAAGCGAACGTGCGGACGGTTTCACTGTTCGCAGCCTCCCAGAGACGGCGAGGAACCTTAATGTTCCGAATGCGACGCCGTTTCGCTGGACTTCCTGGAGCCCACGAGCGCGGCAACAGTGTCGTAGCTCGCAGCACTCCAGGAACAACGAGATTTCACCCGACCAGAATCGAACGTCGCTCCGCTGGTCGTTCCAGGAGCCAGCGAAAGGACCCGTACTTTCGCACATCGCAACCAACCCAGGGACGGCGAGGTCCCACTCTGATCCCGGTAAAAGGTCACTCCGCGAAACCTCAGGAGCCCACGAATGTGGAGACACGTTCGCAGTTCACAGCACCCTAGGGCCGAAGGACTGCGAGGTCTCATTTGATCTGAATAGAACGTCACTCCGACGGACCCCTCAAAAGACAAAGAACAACGCAGACAGTTTAGAATTCGCAGCCACCCAAGGGCGGCGATGCGCCATCTGATACCAATACGTAGACGCCACTGCCCTGGTTCTCCCAGTGAACCGCCCACGAAAGACGCAACGGTTTCGCAGTTCGCAGCCTCTGGGGACGGCTGGGTCTCATTCTGATCCGAATGGGACGTCGCTCCGGTGGTCCTCCCAAAGCCCACGACATTGCAGAGATGACTCGAAATTCGCGGCCTCCAGAGACGGCGAGATCCCATTTGATCTGAACCGGTGGACCCCTAGGAGCCCACGACCGCGCCGATCAACTCGCAGCTCGCAGCCCCAGGGACGGCGAGGTCTCATCTGACCTAGGTACGACGCCCTATCGCTGGACATCCTGGGAGCCCAAGAAAGTGGCGAGAGCTTTGCAGCTCGTGGCATCCAAGGCGTGTCGAGGCAGGAGGGGAGCTGGTGACAGGCAGGCAGGTGGGAGGTAGGACACCCACTGCGGGCGCCTCGTGTCGAGCCCTGGATTTCCTGCGCACCACGGCCGGGGCGCCACTCATGGGCCCCTCCTCCTCCCCCTCCTCCTCCTCCCCTCCTCCTCCTCCTCCTCCACCTCCTCCTCCTTCTCCTCGACCTCATCCCCCTCCTCCTCCTCCTCCTTCTCCTCCTCCTCCTCCTCCTCCTCCTCCTCCTCCTCCTCCTCCTCCCAAGCCAAGCCCAAACTGCCCCCGCCCGACCCCTGGGGCAGGGCACCGTTCGAGTCTGGTACCCCAATCGACTTTGCCGTTCTCTCAGCAAGCCACACCCGGCCACGGAGCAAACGTCAGGACCACAGCACAGCCACCCGGGGATGTCCTCTCAGGCCTGGCCGACCGTGCCAAGCGCAAGCCTCCCCGGGGCCGCCCCCTGGCCCCTCGCGACGCCGCGCGCTCAAACTGGCCAGGTCCCGCCCACCCCGCTGGCCCGAGAAAGGCGCGGAGACACACGGGATGGGCCCGCGACGACTGCGCGTCTCGGGGCAGCAAGCCTGCGCGCGACTCGAGGGGGGGCACAGCGCTGCCCCTGGAGGTGCCCGGGGCGCCGTCGTCGCCGGGGCATCCACGCGAGAAAGCGCAGGGCAGGCGATAGCTACTCTGTCCACGCCGCTGCTCGCGCCCCGACCCCACGGGGAGCCACAGCGGGGGCCTCCTCCTCCTCCTCCTCCTTCTCCTCCTGCTCCTGCTCCTGTTCCTCCTCGTCCTCCTACTCCTCCTCCTCCTCCTCCTCCTCCTCTTCCTCCTCACCCTGGCATCCGATGCCACGTTTCTGATCCATGCCCTGGTTCTGCTGGCTTCCAGAGCCGGGGGGGGGCAGCAGGGGTATGGATCAAACGCCGATCGGCGACAGAGAGTTGGGGGGGGCACTGCGCAATCGCCTCCCCCCAAACAACCCACCGATGACAATTCGCGGCCTTGAGCTCCTGACTCCTCCTGACACATGTTTTCTTGCTCGTCCTGGTTCTCGTCTACTCCTCCCCTGCATGCCTCATCATTCTCGCCCTCTCCGACTTGCTAGAGGTTGACGCTTTTCGGTATTCATGTTCATCTCCAGTTCACCCTTGCACACGTCAGGGGCTCGAGGGTGATGCTTCAGTCCGCTGCGCTGGCAAGAAGAGTTCGGAAATGGCCATCGTGGATGGCTCCGATCCCTCGATGCCGAAGCCTTCGTTTCCAACAAATGAGGCCTGTCTGACTGTCTGTCTGTCCCCCCTCGTTCCTCCTCCCGCCCCCTCCTCCCCCCAGCCTCTTCCCCACTACCCTTCCCCTCCGCGTCTTCCCCACGAATCCTTCCCTCCTCATTCACCCCTTCCAAGACCTCCTCACCCTCCTCCCTCCACCGTCCACTTTCATTCATGCTTCTCCTCCCTCCTCGTCCTCCTCACGATCCTTTCTCGCCTTCCACCTCATCGTCCTTCTCCTTCCTCTTCCAGCCCCCCTCTGCTCCTTCTCATCCCTTTCCTCTCTCCGCTCGGACCACACATCGACATCGACATAAACATAAACGTTTAGAGGTCCGCGACGGTTTCTTGGATCGGCGATAGGCTCCCCTGGCGGCGCCAGAGGCGCCGACAGGGGGGGGCCATCGAAGATCCGAGAAATCCGCGCGGACTGGCGAAATTTTCCCGAGGCGCGGCAAGGGCCCGCTGGAAGCCGAAAACTGCGCAAGACCTCCGTCTTGATGATCTGTTGTTCGGGCCCCTCTCCCTCCCCCCCCCACAATGATGGGCCTGCTTTCCACCACCAGCACCATGAGTGGGAGGGGGGAGGAGGTGGAGGTGGAGGAGGAGGAGGAGGAGGAAGAAGAGGAGGAGGAAGGGGAGGAGGAGGAGGGGGAGGAGGAGGAGGAGGAGGAGGAGGAGGAGGAGGAGGAGGAGGAGGAGGAAGGGGAGGAGGAGGAGGAGGAGGAGGAGGGGAGGAGGAGGAGGAGGAGGAGGAGGAGAGGAGGAGGAGGAGGAGGAAGGAGGAGGAGAGGAGGAGGGAGGAGGAGGGGGAGGAGGAGGAGGAGGAGGAGGAGGAGGAGGGGGAGGAGGACCCCCTCCCCCCCTCCAACTCATGGTGGTGGCGGTGGACATCAAGCCCACCCCCACAGGACGGCGCGAGCGAGCGCCCGCGAGGCCTGGCACGGGCGGCGCTCCTCCGCCGGGGGCCGCAGCGACCTCCGCGCCCCGCGCTCGCCTCCCCGCGCGCGCGGGGACTCCGGGGGGGGCCCGGCGCGGCTCGCTGGGAGGGCAGAACCTCCGCCCCGAGAAGAGCCGCCGTGCAATTGAGTCGGGCCTGTCCGCCTACAGGCGGATTTTCGACGACAAATTAAACATTTATACCCCTAAATTGCTCAAAACATGCTCAAACCTTGTCAAAACATGGTCCCCAGGCTACTTTATCACTGCTTTTGAATCTGCCTCCTGCAGAGGGACAGGCCCGACCTGAGATTAGCCTCCGGTGCAGCACCCGTAGCAGAGGAGGAGGAGGCATCTGCAGAGGCCGAAGGGGGACGGCGAAGTGGGGTGCCCGACCTCACCCTTGAACCACCCCGACACGGGAAGCCGTTCCGTGAACGCCCCCGAAGGAATACCAACGGGGCGGGGCTGTTCAATAACTGTCGGGAGCGGCCAAGAGGGGTGCCTCGAGGCACTAAGTGCAACCCGTATACAATCAAAAACCCTAATAAGGACGCGCGGTAAGGACGCAAGACCCTTGGAAGCCGAAGCTGGGATTTCTGGGGCGGCGGACGACGAAAACCCCAAGGACGCAGGAGCAAGGAAGAGCAAGGACGCAAGGGTACCCTGAGCAAAGTCGCGCGTCATTGTTATCGGGAGCGGCCAAGAGGGGGGTGTCCAAGAGGGGGGGGTGCAAATCATGACCGGCGGCACGTGCGCGGCCCAGCGGGGGGGGGCAGGGACGTGATGACATGTGACATGGGGGGCCAGGGACGTGATTGACATGAGAAGAGGCGCCATGACATCTGGGGAAATCTCATGGCCCACGCCATGACATCCCCCCCCCCCCTGGTCCTCACCCCCCTCTTTGCCGCCCCCGAGACTGTCCATTCCGGGTGGCTTCTCGAGAAGCCTCCCGTGGACTCCCCAGCGCTGCCCCCGGGGGGCGCCCCGCAGGCCCGCGGGGTGGGTGCCCCCCCCCCCCCCCCTGGCGCGGCGCCCCTCTCGTGCAGCAGACCCACGGAGCCACTCGGGCCGCGGGCAGAAGGCATGGCGCGGAAGGCGTCGGGGGCGCTCGCTGGCGGTCGGCGGCCGCAAGGGGGCGGAGGGAAGGGGTGGGAGGGCTCCTCAGGAGGAGGCTGCTCTTCAGGAGGCGCCGGCCTCACACCCATAATTAGACAAGGCCCGCGCCTGCTGAGAAGCAGGGGTGCTTCCAAGAAGCCCCCCCCCTCCCCCTCCCCCCCACCCCCCTCTGCGCGTGGCTGGAAAGCGCCTGGGCCGTCGTGGGGCCCTGCGCAACCTTCTCAGGATGGCGATCGTGCTACTTACCATCAGGAACGCTGAATAAGGAGCGAAGGGACTTCTACGGCCATGGCGGGCCATGGGCGCGAACATGCCCCCCCGGGCCTAAATATGAAACACGGCCCGCGCTTTTCGTGACGTTCGGCCTCCAGGGGCCCTTACCGGGCCTCGGGACCGTCAACAAAACGACTCAGGATGATAGGCGGCGAGCGAGGGGGGGAAGTGAAAAGGGGCAGGCCTTCTCAGACGGCTCGGAAGTCCCACGGCCTTCTGAACAGTTTTATAAACCTTCCCGAAAGACATAACGGCCTGGCTTGCTTGGAGATAGGATTGGCATGTCGCTTGAAGTGGGCAAGCTTCTATCATTCCCCAGAGACATTAACAAAACAAACCACAACAAATCTCAGAAGGCGCGAGGGTTTCTGAGAAGTCCCGCCGCCTTCTGAGCAGGCCTTCCCCTTCTCGCGCCCCCCCCTCGCTCGCCCCCGAGACGAGAAGACGGTCCGGGGCCGACGGGTGGAGAGCCCATGCATGGTTGGACGTCCTGCGAAAATCACGACGACGGGGAGGTCTGGGGAGAGGGCCCCATATAGGAGGCCCCCTCGGAGGCGCTCCAGGAGCCCCCAAGAGGCACCCAAGGGGCCCGAGGGAGCCCCAAGAGCACCCCCAAGAGGCCATCACGTCGTCGTCGTCGTCGTCGTCGTCGTCGTCGTCGTCGTCGTCGTCGTCGTCGTCGTCGTCGTCGTCGTCCCCCTTCGGGGTCGTCGGCATCGGCCGTAACGCCTTCGCAGTGAGTGAAGGGGCCCTGGGACACACAAGTAAATACACACAAATAAAAGGATTCCCCATATTTTCCCCATGTTTTCTGGGTTTTTGTCTTCCCCCCCACTTCGCATATTTTTTTGTTTTCTGGGGAATCGACGATTAATTGTGTCTGTGTGTTTCTTTCCCCTCCTGAGTGAGGCCCGCGCTGAGGCCTCGCGGCAGGCACTCTGCGGGCTGTGGGGGCCCCGGGGCGCTTGTCGGCGCCCGCGAGCGGCGCGACCGGCGGCAGCCCATGGGAGCCCGCTGGCTCCTGCGAGTCGACGCTGGCCGACGCTCCTCGACGCCAAATCGACGCCAAATCGACGCGACTGGACGCTAGCTCGGCGCTGTCTCATCGACTACGCACGCTGGCGCACTCTCAAGACTGAGGTATACCCCAGAGAAAAGCCCCAATCAGTGCCATGGATGGCTTTCGCTCAGGGGATCAACGGGGACCCCAGGAGTCCGGGAACCTGCAGAACCCACCGGGGACCAGGGAACCCGGGAACCCGGAACCGGAAACCCGGGAACCGGCCACCCGGGAACCCAGCGTGCTGCCCAAATCGGCGGGAGATTTTCGCCACATCTTTCGACTTCCGCTATTGGACCCCTGCAGTCCCAGACCCCCGACTTTATGTTTTTCCATTTCATTACGTCGACCCCCGAAGGTCCCGACCCTTTCCCCATGACCGACTTTGCATCCTGAGTCATTTTTTGGCGCCCCCGAGGCCCAGTGAAGGCCCCCGGAAGCCGAAAATTAAGAAAAACCATCCGACATGATTTTTTCATTGCTCGGGGGGGGTCTGGAGTGCAAGCGCGGGTTGGGGGAATCACGAGGACGCGCAAGGCTCCCACGAGCCGCCACGGCACCACGGAGGAGGTCCACGCGCGCCTGGCGGAAGAGCGCCCCCCGCCCGCCCGCCTGCTCCCCGGTGGCCCCCATGGCCAGCGAGGGGCCGAGCGAGGGCGGGGCGCGGCGCTCTGGCAGAGCCCGCGGCATCTTCGAGCGGCTCTTCCGGGACTGGGACACAACTCAGACTCCTGACCTTCCAGGATGGCTAAAAAATGGCACCCGACTTAGACCTGTCCCAGAGCTACTCTGCGTCTTGGTTTTAGGCTGTTTCTTTAGTTATTTTTAAGTTTTTAAGCCTCCAGTGCTAAGAAATAGCTCTCTGGAAGGTCAAGGGCCGGGCGAAAGGGGGGGATAGCAAAGGGGGGGTGAGAATCAGCTCACGTGTGCCTGATTTTCCTGGCGCCTCCCGGCGCCGGAGGCGACTATGTATCGAGGAAGAGGCCCCTCGGTGGGGCCGAAAACAGCTGCACGCATCAGAATTCGTACCCCCCCCTCTCAATCCTTTCGTCCGCCCCGAACAACCTGAGGGGGCCCATGATCGGGGGCGCGCAAGCATGGGGCGGGTTAGGTGCCCCGGAAGGCGGGAGGCCTTCTGGCACGCGCACCTGGGGCGGCGAATGACGCTGAGGCGCTGCCTGCAGCTGGGCTGCAGGCCGTCGCCCGACGGGCCGAATACTGCGCCGACCCGACAGTTTCACCAATTTCGCCACCGTGCCGGCCGCGGCCATCTGGGGTGGTGCGCGCGGGACAAGACTCGCGGGGCCCGAAGGCGGATGGTGGCGATGTCGCGGGGGCAGAGTCGGCGCGCCGATGGGCAGCCCAGCGCCCCGTTTAGCCGAAAGGGCCCAGTACAATGCAAGGTCAGAGCCTATGCCCCGCCCGGGGTCGCGGGATCGGGTTCCCTTTCGCATTGTACAATGTTAAATCCCAAACGGTGTACTGACCCGAACATGAGCAAACGGCATGGGACCTCCTGGACAAAAGCTTTCAAGTTTGGTCATGTGCCGACCCGAACAATTGATCGGCCGACCTGAAGATGGCCAAATCCCATACGACTTGAGCCCAACAAAAAATCGGGTCCGGTTCGAACGACCCGAAAATGCACAAACCGCCTAGGACCCTTTACAAACAAAAAAAACATCGTTCTCGAGGTCTTCGGGCCCGCTCCGAAGAAACTGAACATGGGCCAACCGCCTAGAACGTCCTATCAAAAACTGTTTCTCGGTTGTTCCGGGCCTCGTCCTAAGGAGCCGCCGATGGGCAGGCCGCTCAGGACTTCCTGCGCAAGAAACTGTGTCCCGGGTGAGCCATTGTCAACGGGAGCGCGCCCCGCGCGGGATCGGGGTTCGCGCGGGGGCGCGGCTGCTCTCGCGTGTCCAGGGGGCATGCATTGCCGCGCCCTTCCAGCATTGCGTTTGCGCTGCGTTCGCGCGGCGCCGTGCCACTCAAATCAGAATAAACTTTCGGAGCGCCGATGTACCTCCAGGTACAAGGGGCGCGCAAGCATGGAGTAGCGATCCATGGATCAGGCGCGCGGTCGCCAGATCCATGGATCGGGGGAGGTGCCCTCCCCAACATGCGGCCAGTGCCGCCTCGTACATGGAGTAGCGATGTATGGATCTGGCGCGCGGTCGCCAGATCCATGGATCGGGGGAGGTGTCCTCCCCAACATGCGGCTGTTGCCGCCTCGTACATGGAGTAGCGATTCATGGATCTGGCGCGCGGTCGCCAGATCCATGGATCGGGGGAGGTGCTCTCGCCAACATGCGGCTGGTGCCACCTCGCTCGGCGGCGGGGATCCGCGCTTTCCCATGGAAACGGGACCCGTCGCCAATCCACGCCCCCTTGGTCCATGTTTGCGATCGCCTGGTAGGAAGGGCAACGATAGCGGGGGACCGGCACAGGGGGGGGAAACATCGCCTTGGGATCGGCGATGCACCGCCGACAGATCGGCGGCAGACCCCCGTTGGCAAATCCCCACGGTCCTGAGCGGGGTGGGGGTATCGGGCCCTCATCGGCGATCAGTGGACGATTCGGAGTCGGTGCATTCCCCCCCTATG